GGATGGGAGAACACGGGTCACTCTGGGGAGCGGTTGTGCTCCGTGTCCAGCGAAGGGGGGACCAGAAGGAAGCAGCTTGGCTTGCAGCAAGGGGCTGGGAATTAGGAAAAACTTTTCTAACTCTCAGGGTAGCTCCGCTCGGGACCAGGCTTCCAGGGAGGTTGATGGATCCCTGGTAGAGGCCTGCCTGCCCTCAAGGGCACCTCTTCCACGCTCCCATGCGCCAGAGTTCTTGTAACCCCGACAAGGCTGGGCCCAGGATTCCTGCGGGGCTCGACCCCCAACCTTGTCATGGTCACTTAGGGCAGGGGCCAGAGTTCCTGGGAGGTTTCACCCCCGGTCACTTAGGAACAGAGCATGAACTTTTCTTAAGTGGCAGAGACATCCCAGGTTACGCAGCAAACCTCTTCCTTTGTACCCCGTTACACCTCACACTGCATGTGTTGGGCATTGCATCACCCCCTAGGGACTGGCTGGGTTACGTTGCAGTCCTTGCACAGTATGCGCTGCCCACGCCGTTCCTATGGACGCTGATTGCTACAGACCTAGTTTATCTTTGCCGTTATTCTCAGTATCAGGGTGTTGCTGCTTATCTTGGCTAGCACAGATACCCTGACTCCAGCCCGCTGCTTCGCAATCCCCTAGTTACAACTCACCCTCCCAGTCCCCTTCCCAGGCACGGCCATTAAGGCACGTTCCTTATGGCAAGCCAGGCCTACGCCAAGGGGTGATCATCCCCTCCCGCCTACTCCCTCCTCTACAGGGGGCAGAATCGAACCCTCCAGTTGATTCCCCCTCTGGGGGCAGGATCGTCCCCTCCAGTTCATTCTCAATGGCTCTGCACCTCTCAGGGGGATGTGGCTGGTTGAGGGGACTATAGGCCAGAGTTGGGGGGCTGGGGGAGGCACCGGCAATACAGCGGTGTCACGGATCCACAGTATCTGTGCTTTGTCCCCAGTTTTCGAACCATCTCTAGGAGGAACCCATCAGCGTACCAGACCCCCTTGGGGGTCTCAATTTTCCTCCAGGTTGAGCCACACAGCTTCACCGCCTCCTTAGACTGGCAGTTCCCCCCAGCAGCTGCACCTCCAGGTCCCAGAAGAAGACACCAGACTCATACATTTGTTGCAACTCTAAAGTTCATTGTACTTTAGAGATTGCTGCACTGAACCTCACCCAAACCACTTCCTCACAGGACTCACCCTTCAAGCTGCAAAGAAACTGGTTTGGTGTAAATACTTTGTAGCTACATTTGCATGAACTGCGGCGATTATGGATTAAAAGGGTGATACGGGAGTTCGGAGCACCCTGGAGTAGGGGGCACCCCCTTCCCTGGCCAGAGTTGACCATGGAGAGATTGAGATAAACTCCCAGGAACCCCTGAGTTCTGTCCTCCCTGTGCAATGCAAGTCCTGGTCACATGGAGCCCAGAGGGAAAGTCAAGGGTGGGGCAGGGACCGGGGTGAAGTGAATCGGGGCACGGTTTGGATCCTTTTGTCGCTCAGTTCAGCTGGGATAATGTGTCCATAAAGAAAGCCTCCTACTATGGTGGGACAAATCCCCTGCTTACGTGTGCATGGAGTCCACATTGGTGGCGGAGGACAAGAATCTTGGATTGGAGGGACAAGCTGAGACCCTAAGACTCAGAGAAACTGAGGAGTTCCCAGACCACCCTGTCTGGGAAACACCAGTAGCCCAGGTTTAAGGAAGAAAGGAGCTGGCCACCAAGGAATGGGAGAGAGAGAAAGTCAGAGAGGAGGCCTGGCAGCTCATAACCCCCACAGGCAAGAGGTCCCGGAGGCTTTCTACACAGTTGGAGATAGATGAGAATGGGCAGGTGGTGGCTGCCAAAGAGAAGAGGACCAGGAGGAATTGCTCACTGCTAGAAGTTTCAAATCAATTCTAGGTCGTCTACGTGGAAGCTGGGGAAGATACCTTTTGAGATCCCGCTGGTCCAAGGGAACGGAGAGATGGACAAGAAGGCAGCTTGGCCCAAACTTTAAAGAAATCAAGCTCACCCACAAACAGTTCTCCAACTGTCCAAGGCAAGGCCGGATTAACTTTTTGTGGGCCTGGCGCCAAACATATTTGTGGGCCCCGCTGGGGAATGAAGGGGCCAGGGGCAAGAGCACAGCGGGCAGGGTGGATCTGTTTTAAATCGCGATTTAAATCACGTGTCAGGAAGACTCAATTTAATCATGGTTTTCTAGACTTTTATGTTCTTGTTGGTTGTTATAACCGTAATACATATTCTTCACAACTCCGAGATAGAAGGAGGTTTCATTTCTAGAAGGTACACACTATACATTTTTAAACAGTGATTTATTTTGAAAACTTTTCAGATGAGTTTTACAGCGATATCAGAAAATGAATGATTGTTTGGTTATTTCATGTACCAAAGATAATTGAAGCAGATATTTATGAAGTCATTGGGGGTGCAGTATCTCCAGTTCAACAGGTTAATCATTAATATTTGGAGGATTTTCTTGCCAGGCTGTATTAGGAGGAGAACATCACCAGACAGACATTTAAATTGTTTTATTTAACTAAAACAACAACATTAAGTATTCTGGAATTTTTTCTTCAGCAGCAAACATATAATATTTTAACAAAAAAAGCATATGTCCCTCGCTTCTCACATTAATCTCCAGACTTCTTCTCCTTGTCCAGATCTATTCCACCCCCAACAATCTTCTATTCATTGAACTTTTTGAAACTTTGCACTTTTAAAGAGAGGTAAGGGATTGACTCTGTGTACACACATTTGTAGAGGGACAATAGCGTTGAGGTCTGTTATTTCTCGCCTCTATATATTATTTATTTATTTAAAAACATTTTTGCTGTTAACAAGCATGTTACCTCTGGAGACACAAATGCACATTTTGAGACCTGCAAAACTAAGCATCTCTGCTGGTATCTTCTAGACTGAGCACTGGGTCCCATTGGGTAGGTAGAAAGATTAACTTAAATAATCTCTACAGAAGCCTCTGGAACCCCATAAGATTGGATCCCTAATGTGTGAACTATACGAACTCCTTTACAAAACTTTTCTTAAACATGACATTAATATATTGTCTCCTACTATAGAATTACAATTTATAATCCCTATTCCATGATGAGATATAATGTATCTTAATTAAAACTATCTATTTTATTCCTTTTTAAAAAATGATTGATTGTTATCCCCCCTCACAGTGGGGCATGGGGGGGAGAAGGATTGGTCCCCAGCTGGAGTGAGGCAGGGGCCAGGGGCAAGATGAGCACAGTGGGGCATGGGGGGAAGATTAGTCCCTGATGACTGGAGCAAGGCAGGAACCGGGGGCAGAAGCACAGCGGGGCGGGAGCTAAGGTTGGTCCCTGGAGCAAGGGAGGGGCCGGGGGTAAACTGCAAGTGCAGCAGGGCTGGGGAGGGGGTAAACAGGGTCCACTGAGCCATCCTTGGGTTACTTACTCCTGCTTGGGTGGGTTTTCCTGACAATATATATTTTAAGGGGGTGTGGGTGCTCTGAATAATAACGTGATTATCTCCCACTACCACCGCCCCTACTTCCAGTGCCGATATTACTGCCAGACATTCCCTTTCACATGGGCCAAACTTTTCCTCCACTGGTGTTAAAAGGCGTGAATAGAATGCTATCGGGACTGTTTTCTGCAAGGGGTCCGCTTGTAACACCACCACAGCCAACGCCTCAGGACTGGTGGCGACCCTCACATATATGGACTCGCCAACCTGTACGGGTTGCAGTGTCGCTGCTCGCAACAAAGATTGCTTTAGCTCGCCGAAAGCTGCTTCCTGTTCCGGGCCTCGTTGGAACTGGGCCTCCTTCCTCAACAGGCTATAGAGGGGTTTGGTGATACGTGCATAGTCCCATATGTGGGCTCTTACAAAATTAAAAGCCCCTAATCTGGCCTGTAGGCCTCTCAAATCTTGGGGGCTGGTAAATTCTGCAATGCTGACAATTGTTGTTCACTAATAGACCTTCCTCTTTCTGATAGGGTAACCCCAGGTACTCCACCTGTGGTTGTATTAATTCTGCCTTTTCCAGGGACGCCTTCATGCCATCCTGTTGAATCACCTCCAGTACTCGTTCAGTCCTCCCTCGGGTATCTGCGTCGTCTATTCCCATTATCAGGATGTCGTCCACATATGAGACCACCCACCCCTTATCCCCTGGAGGGAGATGCTCTAACATTTGAGTCACTACCTTATGCGCAATAGCGGGGGCACTATGAAATCCCCGGCGTACACGGGTCAAGCAATACTGTACCCCATCCACGTGGAATGCGAATCGATCCTGCGATCCTTCCTCGAGCGGGATAGCAAAGAAGCAGTTAGACAAGTCCAGTACAGAAAATCTTCTAGCTTCCCTTG